ACACATAAAAAACATTTTTATTACTAGTATAGTTTTAAAAAAAAAGTCACTTTAATCAGTTTTCGTACAAATGTTATGAACAGTGGCAGATTTTGCTTTCATTAAGAAAGAAACTTCATAATTTTATAATAGCAGTTGCCCCGTAGGCCTGCTTTCGCTAATAAAAGTTTTCCTAATGTGTCATAACCAATATTAGATCTAAATTTAGTCCTCGTTTTCACAACAAGGCTGAAAATCGTCTCACACTCTGTATTACTATGGGGAACTGTCAAGATGGCCAACATAATTCTAGAGAGCTCACTATATTTAAAAATTCCATCAACATCTTTCAATTTTCCAATTAAACTCCACTGGGTATCAATCCTAACTGATTTTATAACATCATCCAAGTCTTCTAATTGTAAACTGCAAAACTGTGTCTGCAGTATATCAGTGGCAACATCAATATCATCATCTTTCATGACTAAATGAAGTAACACAGGAAATCTGTTCAAAAAGTACCTTACATCAGAAAAAGATGCATTTGCTAGAGCAGAAACATCAGCAACTTTAGCATGCAAAATCACTTCCTCGTTGCCAGGAAATTTATGCAGTATGTAATCACTTACTCGACAGAAGTAACTTCTAACATGAAGATAAAACTTATTTTTGTCTTCTTCTGAAAGTTATTCCACTACTTTTGTAGTTGCAGCTCCTATTACCAAATCTTCATCTTTCTTCTAATTTTCTATTTCACCATAAATCACATCATATATAGAATTACAAGACAAAACACAGACTGGTTTTACAAACTTTGATAAAATGTCTTTAAACAGATCATAAATCATTGATTGCAAAACATGAATTAATGGAATTCTGCTTTGTAGAATTGTGTTATGAACATCCAAAAATGAATTGTAAAAAAAAAGCAAAAAGCTTTGTTTAGGTCCGAAGAAAAAAACATAAATATTCGTTCTTCACAAGATAAACTTACAGTAATCGGAAAATGTTTCGTGTGTTGAGCAATTTTTTTATTTTGAGAGAAATTTGTATCAGCTTTACGCTTATATTTTGCAGTATTATTTTGAGAACTTCCAGTTGAATTGCTGAATGGTGCAAAAATTACTTTATTTTTCTCAAACCTATTTTTAACAATGGAAGTAGTAACTACATCTCCATTTACTTTAGGTATTTACAACTTTCAATAGAGCCTTTCATCTTAACTCTCGGAGCAAGCATTTACTTCTGTAAAAAATGCTAGAAGTGGGTTCCATTGATCGAGGATTCTAGATAAGCGTTTCTTTAAAGACAGCTAGCGTGTACACACGTTTCAAACTATTTCTCATTTCAGTATTATGCAGTTGTTGAACTGTTTCAATTTTTCCTTCCTTTTAGAACTCCTTTCAAGATAACAATAAATATCAACAATGTGTTCATCCACATTTATTGTTAAAGAAGCTGCCCCTTTTTCGGCTGCCAAATTTAAGAGGTGCACCTCATAATCTGCAAATCTGAATTTTCCTTTCTTAAGATGCCTGCAACACCAGTCTTCAAGCCTACCATTACTGGTGCATTATCGGGACCAAGTGCTAAGCAATTATCCAGAGGGACTGCATTTTCTTTTAAAGTTTTAATAATTAGCTGTGCTATATTAAAGCCTGTAGAATGTCCTTCTAAAGTGGGGACAGAAAGTAAACTGCACTCAATTTCTGAAGACTCTGGATTAAAAAAGAAACAACAAAAATTGGATACAGTTTTGAATCGGTATTATTTGATTCCATTCATATCGGTGAGAGAGGCAGAACAGAGCTGTTTTAATGCAATCAAATAACTGAAGATTTATTTTTTAAACCTAGTTTCTTTAATAAATTGCACCTGGTTTTCGATCCTTGCACTTGAGTATTTCTTAGCGATTTCACTATCGGGAAAAATTTTTCTAAATAAAGCTGCAGTGTGATCCGATGCATTCAGTGGCAGGTTGTGCTCCAGTAAAAAGGCAGAGAACAGACATTCCGCATTAATCACTTTTCGGTCCTTTGTTTCCAAAGAAAAATTTAATTTTTCTGAAGATGGTGGTTCGGTAAAACCATCGAAACTAGTCCTGTGAAAATTTTGTAAATATAACGCTGATTTTTGTTGTTTGACTTCTTGTCCTTGTGTTTGTGTGTGCGCACATGTTTGAGAACATCCACCCTTCCACCAAACGAAATCGAAAAATCGCAACGACAGATGGTACACATCGCAAATTTATTACATTTCCTCGAGGAAATAATGGAAGGAAAGTCAACTGTGTACGATTTTTGAAATGTACACGAGTATTTCACCTTTCTTGCAGACATCACAAAAGATGATAATTTCTAAAACTATTTCCCGAAGGCACGTACACAACTCAGGACAAGATGAACCAAATAACAAAAGAACATCCAAATAATGGCTTTGTGCTCATTGGCTAATACATGCCAGATGACACGCAGTGGAGCTCGATGCCCATTGGAGAACTGGAGAACAACGTTTCTGGATACGTATGCTCTCACTCACAAAGCAGAAACTCCCATCTGATTCGCAATGTTTTGTTTTAGATATAATCTAGAGAAAATTCAATTGCTTTCAGAAGCCAAGTTCCATGTATTATTTGATACTTCCCTTTCCTCTCGTGACACAGGAAAATGCACATAGTTCTCTCTAATGGCATACTGCAACAGGGAGTTACCATTTGTATAAGAACCATGTAACTGCACAATAGCGACAGATGTGTACTTACCATTTACTGAATAAATGACACAAAGTTTCAATGCAATTTAACCATTGACAGGCAAGCAAAGTTAATCTTGGGTAAATATTGAACACAATAATTCTATATATTTTATGTCTGAATAAATTTACATACGTGTTAAAAACTTTTAAAGTACCATCTTCTTATGTGGATTAGAAAAAATCAAATCAATATTCCTGCAATCAGGAGCAGGTTCGCCATCAAGAAGAAAGAAGGTAGGCCAATTTCCAGTTCTTAGTCTAATTTATTTCTTCCATAGATGTATGTTGGTTGGAAAGAAAAAGAAAAAACCACAAGAAAATGTTCATGATAGAAGGAATCGGAAAGAAGTTTTAATATTTGTTGCAGAAGAATTAGGACAGACTCTTCCCCCTAACTTAACAATAGCACAACTATGAAGACTTATTTCACCAATTTCAGAATGTGAGAATGATTAGAATTTCATTAAGAAATTTTCAGAAGCACAGTTTCACACAGTCTTAACTGTAAACACAGATTTTTCAAATTAGAAACATTTACGATTGCAATGTGAAACTCAACTAGAACTGGCTAAAAGTGCAAAAGTAAGGATTCCAATATAGAAAGAGTAACATCATTCAAAGATGTGATTAAAAGCGTCTGCACATCAAAAATTATTATCCGACCATCTAAAGAGCTACCTTGGCTGGGAATTCTGCCAAAACACACAGCCTTGTCTAAAACGGGCATTATTACTTGCTGTGATGTGAAAGGTCACATGAGTCATCCCTTCTCCGGAAAGATAGAATTTATATGAAAGAAAGTCTCCATCCTTCCACTCTATGTATGTTTGCACTCATGGTGGCAGGTGAGGCAGTCGAACTATACCATACTTCAACAAGCAGAGGTCTGGAATTCAAATTCGTTGGAGAAAGGTTTTGAAATTAAGAAAGTTTCTTAATGAAATGGAAGAAGTATTTGCATTACTTAACATATTACAGAAAATATACTTAGACAATTTTGCGAAAGCTAAGTGATTCAGAATTGTGACACATATTCACTTTGCGTCAAGGTTGCATGGTATTACTAATGCAAATTGAGAAAAGTTGAAGATTTAGAACTCTTAAAAAAATTATCATACAGGAGAAATTAATTCAAACTTTAGACAATGAAACATCAGCACGCCGAAAAATATAAGGAGAAAACTAGTTCAATCCAAAAGCTAAAGAAAGTAATCTGCATTTTACTTTTAAAAAAAATCATGTCTTTTGTATGCAAATAAGTATCACACCTGAGAATTTCAAATTACCTATTCATGGGAGCTAACCTCCCAAACCTAGGAGGGGGCCATATAGCCAGAAGCATAGCCACATCCAAAATGGAAGACCACATAGCTAGGAAGGAAATATTTTAACTGACATGTCAAGAGAAAATCAAATAAAAGAGAGTATATTTGTGGGAACTCAAGTCATTTAGTGCAAAACTGCACAGAAAGAACAAACAAAACAAAAGACTTGCCATCACTAGGACGAAATAGCAAGGCTCTTATAGCGAAAGTGACTTTGCACAACTTCAGGGATCAACAGGCAATAGAAGCACTGGAGGTCATTCAGCTCTTAAGATTCATTGCTGCCAATGTAAATGGGAGAGAGGTTGAATGGATTGAAAACAGCAGAACTGGGATAACAATTTTATGACCAAAACATGACTTTCATGTAAATTTTGATTGTGGGATGATTGCTTTCAGTTAAGCTTCTGAAAAAGAAATAAAAGAATTAAAATTTTTGTGCCCATAAATAAGGGGAGAAGCAATACATTTAGAGCACCAATAGAAATTACACTAATCATATCAGACAAATAAAAGAAGTCCAGGATTACTACTGAACACAAGAAATTTTTTACTCCGGTAACATTCAACGATTAAGTGAAAGACAATGGAATAGGAAATGAAAAAGTATAGACTCAGAGATGGCAGACGATTTAAGTCTGTTCCGAAGTTTAGATGTAGGGGAAACACCTTTAGCAGAAAATCAAAATAATCGGCTTATATCAACTAATACTAAATCAAATAGAGTCAAAATTATGAACCAAGGTCATGAGCAGAGAAATCAGAAGGAGAAAAACTAAAAGAACAAATGGAGCTTAATAAATAAGGAAATTTTCTTTTAACTGATGATTACAACAAAGTTGCCTGAGAAAAGATATCTCAGTTGGTATTGGCGGTGAAAAGAGGCTAGAAAACTTCAACTAGTCTATGAATCTGCATTGAGGAATTTAAAAAAAAATAAACCCCAAAGAACAGGTTCCGCATAACTTTTATTGCCCATCCATGGTTAAGAATATCGCAGAACACTTTACACCTTGTGAAGACTGTCAGCTGAGGAATCCTGAAAAAGTAATGAAAAAAGCCTCTTTAGCCTCATAATGCAGTTGTGATCTGTATACACCCAAGCTTTGAGGACACTTGGTGACATAGTCAAATGCTTCATTAATAGGCATTAGTACTTGTTTATTTCAACTGAGATAAGGAAACCAAGTTTTGAGAATACTGTGATATAATCAGATGCTTCATTAACAGACATCAGTGCTTGTTTATATCAAAGCAGAGAAGGAAAATTATGTTCTATATGCTATGCAACCGAAAATTAACGAGATCTCAGCAGCTGAGAGAAAGTCATTTACAGTAATATTCAAAGGCTTGGATATTTGGTTTACATATCAAATTAGTCACAGATCCTCTACACCTTTTATGCTCAAATAAATTTGTGTTGAAAAGGTTCAAAAGTGTTCTCCCTTCTTATGTGGATTACAAAAAATAGAACCAATACATAAGATTTATTATTTAAGTTCCAACAACTTGCAAATAAAAATGGGAATGAAGAAAAATAACTCACACAAAATTACACATAACATTACTGCTGTATGCAATTGTCTTTTCAGTTGAAACATGTTCTGATGTGTGAATATTTTTGATTGTATTTGTCACAGAATCTTCCTGTCTTGCCACTGAGCACTCTTTACATGCTTCGGGGGAAAAAATTGCTGCTACAATTTTTCTCTTGTTCCATGAACATGAATCTGCACAAACTCTCCCCATGAACATCTCCATTTCTTTCAATGAAATGCTTACACATAGCACTATTGCTCATAAAAATTTTTAATAAAAATTACGCACCTGCAATAAATTTCAGCCTTTAGCTTGAAGAAATGCTACAGACCAAATCTTGTATTTGACAAGAACATTGATTCTATCAGATGTCTCATCTACATTTACATGATATTTTTAAATGAATAAACTTATAAGGAATTTTCTCCCTCCTTCCAGCATGCCCTCATAGTACAACAGTAGCACACTCTGTGCATATTTGATAGGTCCAGGTTTGAGTCCCGGCAAGAGCACTGTTCATTTTTTATGTCTCTAGCATCAAAAAAACCTAATAACTCTACAAGTGGCGCCTGAACTAAAAAGTAGTTGACAATAATTCATCACCACCAGAATTTGACAACTGGGTTCTCCAATCTCCAGTCACTCTTTAAAAGGGAGAGAATATAAGGTATTTTCTCCTTGCTTCCAGCATGCCTACATAGTGTAATGGTAGCACACTCGGCACGTATTCGACAGGTCCAGGATTGAGCCCCAGGGAGGGCATCGTTCATTTTCCCCATCTCCAGCATCAAAAATACCTAATGAAGGATCTTTGGGTATACTAAAAATTTCTCCTCATTCTATTTTAACTTCCAAAGTCTTCAATTAAAACAGACCTTGCATATCATTACAAAAAGTGGGGCAGCCATCAACAAACACCACAAGAACCATTGAACACAGAATATTAATTTTCATCCATTTTCCAAAGAAAGTATTCCATTCCAGGCAATTATCCTCTCAGTCCTGTTATCTTACCATCCTACTTAAAAAATTTAATTTATATAAAAATCCTTCAGAGCTCACTGAAATTTAAGCAACTAACTCCATCGGAACACTGATAGTTTATCACGGATTCTTACTCCTGATGATTAGATAGACTGCCTACACGAAATTTTTATGGTTCACCTCATGTTTAAATATAAATTTAATCAGCTTCCCTCCAAGAAGCCTTTCTTCTATGCCTATATATTATAAACAAACATCCAATCTCTGAAAACCTTGGAATACAGTACCACTCTAGGGCAAGTTTTTTATGTGCAATAACAATGCACAAGATTGTGAATTCCAATCTGAAATATTTAAAGTATTTTACATTGAATTTTCTAGAAAAGAACTGTTACATATTTTCAGAAAAATTAAAAATGGGGATAAAAATTGTTTTAATGCCCTTGAAGAAAACTCTAATTCTAATAACAGTTGTAAGAACAGACAATGAAATTATGAAATTTTTATGCAAGCTGTGAAAATAAATAGATTGCACAATTTATTTAAAGATTAATTTTGATTAAATAATCTACACTTGCAAGTAAAGTTGCAGTTCATCCCACCGACGAGAGATGTGCTGTTGATTTCTCATGCTCAGTTAGACTCGTATTGTAGAACAGGAAGATATGTTCCTAAAATTATCCCTTAAGTCGCTTTTTTCTTTATCTTTCCATAAATGCAAAAAAAATCATAATCTGTTATAAAAATGGTTTGGTTTATTCTGATTATGGCAAAGCAATTGAGAGCTATCTATGGGAAGAGATGCTTTCGCAGAGGATTTTCAAAGGGAACTGGCTCATATCAGCATTACATTTCGATCTGTGAATATGACTCGTATCCATGTAATTTTTTCTACAAATTAAATACGGTACAAAATCCGTAATCCAGATGTCCAATATAGAGAATAATAGCCTAAACAAGCCATAAGTTTTTTAATTTTTTCATGCACAGTTTAGAAATGGAGAACAAAGCACTGCATTCATTTGTTTGCATTGTTGCACCTTTTGGCTTTGTGACTATATGTTGTTTTATCACTTGTGTGTTCATTTTTCTTTTAGGAAACTATTAAAAAGTTTCTTTTCTTTTTTTTTTTTTTTTTTTTTTTTTTTTTTTTTTTTAAATATTTCACTTTTTTTAACTATTACTTTGAAAAAGGACCAACGTAGAATTTTTGTCATTTTTGTGCCACATGGTTTTGATAGTTGCTTGCCATGACGAACAGACTGAAAATGAAAAGAAAGGTAGCGGGCAATAATAGGAAATTTTCAGAGGCCAGGACTTCGAAAAACTTTTTTATGGAGCAAAATAATAGAATCACATGTTTGATATGTAATTTTATGATTAGTGTTCGCAAGAAGTATACTATTGAGCGACATTACAACATTCAACATTTTCAAAGCTTGAGGGAGAGGATCGAAAATCGCAAAATCGAATCTCTTCTCTGTTCTCTCGTTGCACAAAAGTGTGTATTTACAAAGACATCTTCACAATTAGATAACTGTGTTGAAGTTAGTTTGGGAATCGCACCTTTAATTGCTAAAAATGGCTGCCTATTTACTGATGGCAGTTATGCAAAGGAGTGCATATTGTTGGCATCCAAGAAAGTATGCCCTGACATTACGAAGAAATTTGAAAAGGTGAGTCTGAGCAGAATGACAATTCAAAGAATTGAAAATTTATCTGATGATGTTAAATAACAATTACAGATTGCTGCCATAAATTTTAAGTACTTTTCTCTAGCAGCTGATGAGAAAGGACATTACTTCAACAGTTTAGCTGCTTCTGTTTGTTAGAATAATTTCTAAAAATTTTGAAGTAATTGAAGAACTTGTTAGAATGAGATCAATGAAGCAGCAAACAACTGGGAGCTGATACTTCATTCTCCATTTAAAATTTGAATACAATCAATTGTATTTATTCACATGGTTTAAACCACAGGCAATTAAAGGAAATCCTACAATATATAGAGACGCACCACATAATGATCTCATATATTACTCTGAAGTATAATGATTCAACCATGTAGAGTCTTTGTAAAAGTTTGCTAATTTGACTGATGAAAAAAAAATCATTCCTTGAAGAAAACGGCAAACGAACTAGGATGTTAAAGAAACCATCTTTCAAGTGTGACTTAGCATTTTTAGTTGATGTGACAGCCCATCTGAATGACTTAAAAATTGATGGGGAAAAAAAACAGTACATCAGTCAATTGGCCATTGCAACATCTGCTTTCGAACTAAAACTCCAGCTGTTTTCAAAACAGCTTGACTGTCAAAATTTTATCAATTTTCCTTACCTGAGGAAACTCAAGGAAATTTTTCCTGGTAAACAACTGGATTATTCAGATCAAATAATGATACTGCTTACTTTATTTGAAAAGAAATTTACAGATTTTTAGTTGCATAAGGCTAAATTTAAACTGTTTGGGGATCCATTTTCTGTTGTAGTTGAAGAAGCTCCAGATGTTCAAACGGAACTTAGTGATTTACAAACTTCTGACTTGTGCAAATCCAGATTCCATGAGCTAGACGTTCTTGACTTTCATAAAACTCTACCTACCGAATTTTTGCACTTAAAAAGTAATGCAAGCACATGTGCTACCATGTTTGGTAGTTCTTATATATGTGAACAAACATTTCCTCTTATGAATTTAAGTAAGTCAAAGTTAAGAAATAAACTGACAGATCAACACTTGCAATCTGTCTTAAGAATATTAACGGCTAGCTTTCAAGCAAATATATAAAAAATTGTTGATAAAATTTAGTCTCAACCATCACAGTAATGCATTAAACTATGGCTAACCAGTTCACATTTTTATAAAAATATTTATATATTAAATTAGCATGCACAAACATAAGCTAATTTTTTTTTCAAGCTCAAATGAGTGTGTTGGCCCCAGTAATACATGCAAGAGGAAAGGGAAACCTCCTCCCTTCTTGCTTACATACATATGCAATGGTTTCCAAATCAGTTTAAATTTGATACGGTACATGTCTGAATTACAAATTACGCAAATTATTGCATTGACCCCCTCCCCAAATCTTTTTGCATACACTATTGGCCCTCGGCAACTAAGTCGTTTCTGTGAGTGGCCCTTCTACTAAAAAGCTTGTGCACTCCTACGCTTTATTTTATATATCAGGTGTGTTTTGCTTTTAAAATGGAAAGTTTAAAAGCACCAGATCCGATGACATTTGATGAGAATCTCATGGGCAAAGATGGCTGCTATCATTCAAAATTCAAGAAGCAGCCAGTGGATTACATAATAAAGAAGAGAAGGTGAAAGTTAATACTTTTCTTCATTTAATAGGAATTCACGGTCTTGAAATACGTAATATATTTCCTGTAGATGGTAAAGAAATTAAATTAAATGAAATTAATACAAAATTTATGGAATATCGTATACCTAAGAATAATACTACATATGAAAGACATTTATTCTTTACTAGAAATCAAACCACATCGGAAACCCCAGATGAGTATGTAACTGACCTTCAAAACAAAGCTAAAACAGGCAAGTTGGCACAATTAACGGATAGTCTGATAAAAGATAAAACTGTTTGCGGTATTAAGATGGATGTGATGATAGCAATATGCAACATGAAACAGAATTCGCATTAGAAAGCACTTGTTTACTACATACTCTTCAGAATGAAGTTCTTAACCTATTGGGTAAGTCAGATGTGTATTGTAACATAATTATCAGTAATATAGCAAATAACTGTGAGTCTTAATGATGCTCCATTAGTCAACCATCACTAATTATCAAGTATTTTAAACATATCACAAATGTATCAAAACAAATGTTAAAATGATGCATTATAGTTACACAAAAAAAAAAAAAAAAAAATGAAAAAAAAAAAATGTTTTTTTAATTACTTTTTTTCAAATTCTTCTTTTGCTGATTCGATGTTAGAACCATATTTGACAAGTTCATTTTGTCCTTTGCTACCAACACGGCCCCATCGGCGCCAGACACAGTACTGTTTTCTTTTATTATGCTCTAAAATTTGAATAATATAAAATTTATTACTGTTTTTCTGCAAACTTGTTAGATTTAATGTGGCAGTAAAAAGCACGCCATTCTCAAAGTACAGATGAAAATTTTCACGTTCTTGACACTCTGAGTCCACTGGAACACATTTTAAATCTTCAGGACTTAAAGCAATTTCTTCTTCTGTATTTAGAGGAGTCATGCCAACAGTGATAACTGATGACTGAACTGTATCTCCAATTGCTCTGGCACTGGCAGAAAATTCAGGTAAAACAAACCTTTGACTAGAATCCAAAAGATATAAATTAATTTAAAAAACTATGATGGTGATTAAAAAATGTCATACTATTAAAAAAGTATCCTAACCTAGAAGCTACAGTTACACAGCACCTATACCAAAATGATGTCATTAGTAGTTTAATAAAACATGTACACAAAAGTTGCATAAAAATGATTAAAACTGAAAAGATAAATTAGAAAGCTAATAAAATAGAAATCAGAAAAAAAGAAGAGATTTTTAAACTTCTAAAAATCTTTTATTTACTCAATAAAACACAAAATACTCTATTCTTAGTTCACAGAATAATTTACAGAAGCATACTGGTTCAGGAAATTACAAAACCAATAACTAAAAGGGTTGAGATTTAGACACAAGTGGTTACGTAGGTATCATGGCTCTTCATAAGCAGAAAATCATCAGTTTTGACTAATCATATATCTTTCATTTTGTACAACTGGCTTTGCTGAATTCATTGCAAAAAGATTCTCTTAAGACAAAATACAATAATTAAAAGAAAAAAAAAGTATTAAAGAAATCACATTATGTAAACCCATAAATGAAGTTTCATACATAGTGCTGCCAAATTCAGAGGGGTGATAGTAGGCATTAAGAGGATGAAATATTACCATAGAACATTGCAAACCACAAGTAGTTGTGGCGTGAAAGGTTCTGTGTGCAGAAAACATGCACTCCCTCCATGTGCAAGTCAAACTCCTAGGTGATGCCATTTATCCCCTTTGGGTAGAGTACTTATGTTGGATGCCACACAGAATGATTCGCAGTTTCCTACTGCTCTTTTATTCTCAGAAGAAGTCAGGTTTACAACAGAAGGCATGGTCAACACGCACGATGCGCATATGTGATCATTCAAAAATCCCCACAGCATTGTCTCATCAAAGGTGCAACACAAGTCTGGTATTAACATCTGCGCAAGAGTGTAGTGCTATACCTGCCCAGTGTTTTTTTGTTAGCAATGCTAATTTTAATCTACACTTAATAAATAGTTGTTAATTTTTAATATTATAATATTCATGCATATAAAGAACTTATAGTTCATTTGAGTGATTTAAAAGGTGTCCAACTTTTTGTTTTGTTGCTGTTACCTACAAAAATTTTTCACAAATGCTGAAAGAAAATAATAGATTATTAAGAGTGCACACTATGCCCAAAACTAAAAAAAAAAGTTGCAACGGCAAAATAGATGGGTCATAAAGTTTCCACAGTCGAGATATTATACACTCCAATAAACAGAGTATTTATAAAGCAAACAAAATCATTATGATACTGAACTGAAATAGCTTATCCAACAATGGAATCTCAAAAAGGGCTAACTGCTTAGATAGTTACAAGGGCTGAGCATGACGTCACAGCAAAAGATCGGTTGCTCACGAGTCCAATCCTTATTCATTCCTTGCTTTGCTCATTTATCTACTTAGCTCCTGCTTGTTTCCAGTTTGTTTCACTTAATATTTAGGATATCTAATTTATAATAAAATTCAGAATGGAATTTTTAAACTTGCATATTATTTGAAGAAGTAAGGAAGATTTCTTTGATTTTTTGTTGCACTGAAAATTGTAGGATATGAAAGTTGATGAATAAGTACAAATACTAATTTGCTCTCTTTATTGATTATTATTATTACATGATCAATAGAACTTGTCCTGTAACTTTCTCTTTACAGTAGGAAGAAATTCCCTTGGATTCTGTTGACTAAAGAGATGAAACTTTTCCCAATGAAGTAACTCTCAGAGATTATTTCTCATGAAATTTCTGATTTCAAAAAGATGTAAATTTCAGAAGAAATTTAAGCAAATATTGATTTGCATAATTTATTATTCAATGAAACTAGAACTGCTATTATTATTTTTCTATTGTTCTCTTTCAGCCATTTTATTTCAAACCTCATATTCTAATTTAACAAGCACTGAAAAATTTTTCAAAATGAAATAAAACTTTGCTCTGAAGAAAAATATATATATATAATATATGGCATTTTTCAGAGTATAAAAACTGGTATACTCTATAAAAATATTAAATAATAATTTTTTATCAAAGGTAAGGAATTTTGTGTCAAATTAAGCAGGCAAATATTAATAAACAAATATAAATAAATGCACCTGTTAAAAACGTTTTTCTTAGTAGTTACAAAAAATTACTTAAAAATAATTAAAATAAAAAATTACTTAAAATAATCATTTTCATGAAATAAAGCAATTATCAAAAATTATCAGAAGTTAACAAGATGAAATAAAAATTCACACACAAAAGAAGTTATTGAAGAAATATATGAAAAGAAACTTTTATTCAAGACATATAAAAAGGAATAAAACTTTAAATTAATTGTTATTCCAATAATGTATTTTAATCAATTCATCAAAAGGTTATATTTTTAAATAATACCCCGTCTGGAATTATTTTCTTTCGAATAAGGTTATTATAGTAAGTACTATTAAATACTATAAAAATACTGCAGGTACTATAGAAATATCTGGACTATTTTATGCACTTATAAAGCAGATGTCGTAGGTATAAAGATATTTATAAATGTAACTATATTACTGATTATTTCTTATATACAATATGGGAAATCTATGCAATGTAGCCACAATAAGTGTAAAAAAGAAAAAGAAAGAAAAATTCTTTGAATTAAAAAATTAAATTATTTAAAACTATACAAGAGGTAAAAAAAATACAAGAAATAAATATTACAAGACATTAACAAAATTAAAACTATTCAAGAAGCAAATAAATAAAAATTAATTAAATTAAATAGAAAAAGAATACATATATATAATAACAAAGCATTAAATTTGTATCCATTATGATAATGTGTTTAAACAAATTTAAACCAGTTCACCATAGACAGTATATTATATGCCCATTATGGTAAATTCTGCAATATGCAGATATTTTTAAAAACTTCCATTTCCATTCTTAGGCTTTCCATTTCTTAGGCTTTTTTTAATTACATCATTCCTTTTATAAAAACAATTTTTTATGCCTTCAGCATTATGCCCTGATAAAGATATGTCTACAGTTCTGAAAAAGGTAACTGATTAATAGTTGTTGAACAAATTAAGTATAGCTGATGTGATTTTAAAAAGAATAGTTTATACAAAGACAAAAGTAATTTCACTACATTCTAACAGTGACCGACATCTATCAGATTCAGTAACAATTTTTAATTGTTTGATCATAATTTAATTTTCTGTTTAAAGTTGTTAGCAAATGTATCAAGTTCTTTTAAAGATTAACTTTTCGTACGTGTGAATGGAATAGCAAATTTAATCCAAAAAACAGCTAAATCTAAAAAAGAAATTAATGTGCTTCAAGGAGTAAAATTATGAATTTTAAATGATATACAGACACAAACACTAATATATAAAAGTAATGCATGATATCAATGGAAATTTTTGCCTAAAATTTCACAGACTAAAATATCTCTTGAAAGACATATACAATTAATTTCTTGTTAAATAGTTGTCTTCTAAGTACTTAATCTATATAGAAGATTTACTTTCAAAAGTAAGATAATAAAAAAATTTTTAGAAATATAAAATGTGTTTTATGTCATGAGCTTATATTCAACAATAAAATTTTATTTTTTCATTTTGCTTGTAGAAATCTTTTGTACAGCAAGTTTCAACTAGTTTTGTTTTGTGGTTGAAGCAACAATATCATTACATCCTACAGGAATTCCTTCAACTATCTTTAGTTAAAAATCTAAATTTAGAATAAAATGTTTAACATATTTACTGGTTCAGTCTTTTTTCATTTTCTGAATTAAAAAATAGTTTGATTTTATATTTTTGAGATGAACTTCTTTAGTCACTTTTCTCTGAAATGTATAAATGAAAAATATGTCTGATAAAGAACAATAAATGTTAAAGTATTTACTATTCTTTCATTCTAGTTTCTTGTATCATTGTGCTTTAATATCAGAAATTTTCTCACTGTTTTATTTGTTTCATTACGCTTTGGGGCATATTTGTCAATTATTATTTAAATCACTTTCACACCATTTAAGAAGGAAATATCCAAGCATTTGCAGAAAACAAAATTTACACATGGTATTTATATTTTCCGTTGTTCATAATTTCTGATCAACTTTCCACAAGGTTCTGGAAATTTTAATTTAAAATTACATTCTAAATGCAAGGCAGAATTCGAATTTAGAAAGCAAGAGCACAGTAAAGACGTGCAAATTATACACTCATTGATGAAATATTGGTTTGAGCTTGTGGGAGACACTTTCCACAGCTTCGGGTTGGTCTTCTGATCATGACGTCACTGAACAGTCAGCCATTCGTGCTCATGCTTATTCTTCGAAACAATATTGGCTTAGATCAGAAAAGAGAGATGCCAAACAAAAATACCTGTAAAATGGTAGCATTCTTTTTTTCAGGGAGTACTGTTAGGATTGCCAATTGCTGCATTTTTTGGTACGTAAAGCTACTGCAAGGTGACTCAGCTGAGTGCACACAAAAAGTTAGGCAACAAAAGTCATGATGCAGCAAGTACGATTTCCAGGGCCCATGAACCTCTTTTGGTGATCATCTTTCCAGTATAAATATTGCCTTTGATATGCTCTTCCCAAAAGCAAATGTGAAATCCCAGTACAACAATTACTTCAGAAACCAAAATTTTAACACAGCTTGTAAAGTTAATCTACATTTAACCTTCCAGCGGGCGCGCATATGTGCGAGATACACTAGATATTAATTTCGCATCTGTTTCGTAGGCCAGAAGGCACTATGACTGTGTGTCCTTGGCTATTCTCTCCTCTTCATTCGCCCTTCTTTCAGTCGTCTGCTGGATTTCGAGAGGCTAATGCGAGTCTGCAGATTTACTATTTGTATTCCAGAAATACGCGTGACTGTTGAAGTAAGTTTTTGTTATATCTAATTTCCTTCTTTATTTTAGAAAATCTTTGCATCTTTTGCATCTAAATCTTATGATTTTATATAATTACTTTTAATGATAAAATAGAAGCACTGTATACA